CTAATAAGGGGAGACTAGGCCATAGCCAACCACGCTGGCCAAGTGCGGGTCGGTTGACGTCACATATATCTTTGAATTTCTTCGCCGATATGTGTTTTCTTTCGCCGTTAGGACGTAAGTTATGTATATATATGAGTAAATTATGTATATATGAAAATTAGAAAAATCGAAATCACATTGATTCATAGCGGGATTCGAACCCAAGACCTGTAGATTACAAGTCAAGTGCTTAAACCACTGAGCCACCGACGCTCTCTATTAATGTTATAAATGCGAAAGTTTGCATGGATGGATGTTTGTTAGAATTTGTTGCCTAAACTGCTGATTTCGATGAAATTTAGTATAGATGTAGAGGATAGTCTGGAAGAATACATTGGCTTTTGTTTTTGTTTTTAATTCTACCCGAACGTAGTTTATAATTAATTGTTCAATTTTGAGAGTGAAACAAAAAGTCATAAACTTTTCCGAAGATATGACAGTTTGTGACATGTGACAGTGAATGTCTTTTTTCCGCCTTTGTGCTTCGATACTAAATGGGTTGACATTTTTTTTTGCACCCTATCGGTAACCATTGCTCAAAATCGTCGGGAAGTTTCACATCCTATTTCCACAGGCGACTGCTCTAGTCGAACCTTTACAAAGTCTAATCTAAAATATCTGTAGGTATATCGGACTATCGCGACGGTACCCGCGGCAAGGAGTGGCAGGCGCACCGCCGCCGTCATGAAGGCTGTCATTGTCGCCATGGACCCGCCCGCAGACTAGATACCTCGCTAACACTTATCGATGGCTGAAAGCCTATCTGTTTTAAGCGCCATTAGCTTAAATGCACAGAAGAGCCGTTTAAAGTTTTCATTTTTGAAAAAAAAAACAGAAAAGCAAAACCTGGAAATAATTTCAATTTAAAGATTTTCAGACAAGTTCTCTAGAACTTCATTTAAATTTTTATCTATTAAAATTACTGTAATTCTGGATACTTCATTATTTATTTCATGAATCAATATCGCCTAAAATAGCGTTTGAAACAAATAGTCTTTCCCGTTGATATCATTAGCACCTTGTAGACACACAAACGACACTACACCTTGTTCCTCTATTTACAACTTAGAAGTAGCAATTTATATAAAACAACGATTTTAAAATATATATGTAATGTACAATCAGGGAATTTGATGGTGTTCCAACTTTAAAGTCTTTTGAACGTTTAGTACGCTTTGTGATGACAAAGAACAATAACCAATAGGAAGTTTTTAAATGCTATAGGAAACAATATCCCATTAGTACAAGGTAGACAGAATTTGTCTTTTTTTTTAATGGAACACCGCTTATTTCCGTCACTGTACTATAAAAATTTTATTGCACGTTCAAGGAGAGAACTCTATTGGCTATGAGTTCAATGTTGGCATTTAAATAACAATTGTTTATGTTTTAACTTATACAATGTTTTAAATTATATTTATATATTCCCATATACATGTATATCCTATGTTACATTATACATTGTTGTAATATTAGAAATATGTAATTAATCCAATAATGGTTGATTCTAGAGCTTCAGTAAGCAAATGACGTTTTAATTTTTTATTTGTCACGACCTATTTTATTATTTTGAGTCATTATTAAAATAAATATTTAAGTAAATATACATTTTGAAGTTGCGAAACCAGTAGAAGTACAATTGTATTTTTTTTTGTTTATATCCATATTACGAGATTGTCATCTAACGCGACATATACCGATTAGTCGTCTAATTTTGTATATTCTGTTAAAATTACAAATATATAAAGGTTTTTTCTATATTTTAAAGGTTAACATATTTGATCATATCTATATTGAAGGCTGAACAATTCGTATATGACATCTTATTTCCCAGTTATTTTTTATTATATATTTAGTTAAAATAATCGAGGGCCCAATATCATACGTTATTCATCTTTAATCGTATTAATAACTTATTGAATTTAATTATATACAGTGTGAACTCTATATAACGTCACTCAAGGAGCCGACCCTTTGCCGACGTTATAACGGATCGGCGTTATAAAGAGTTCCACTGTTAGAATGTTATACATATAAACGGACGCGAGTTCACTTGCCTTATAGACGGCTGTTACAGCGTATTGTTATAGAAAATGTTCATTATTAATAAGATTTATTTACACCACTTAGATCGTAGTCGAGTTAATAGTGAGACACATTCGTTATGAAACATTTAATGCTTTTTTAATTATATTTATTTAATGTTGCTGTTATTTTACACTTATTTATTAATAGTATATTTTAATGACTAAATCATTGATGAAAAACGATTTTTGTATATCGTTTATGATAGTTTTTTCAAATACATGAAATATTTTTTTTATAATAACTACTTATGCTAATAATATTGCTTAGTAATTTAATATTATTCTATGTATCTGTTATAATTTGTAGTTTTTCATTGTTTATATATAAACTAAATATCGTTAATTTTTTTTAAAGGTATACCACAATGTTTGTCAAAGTCAGTTACGGGCTCAAATCAGTCTTCCTATAAATGTTATAGATATCAGATAATGTTCAGTTACATTTAAATAGGTTGTGAAGGACATTTGTACATTGTTAAGTTTGCCTCTACTAAAAAATAGCGGACACAAACGAAGAAACCATATTCAAAACTTCAATATTAAATTTTTGCAATTTGTACAATCGATGGTTTTGTCGGTTCTCCACTTTTAAACAGCCGTTTTATCGTTTTGTACACGTCTAAAGTAGAAAAGTCACTAACACTAAATGCGTACGAAAAAAGGTCTTAGTAGTACACGACTATTTTTTATTATTGTCCAGTTTGTGTAACTTACTACTAATTGGTTATTTCTAAAATGCAGTTTGTTTCGTTGCGAGGTACAAAGCAATTTTTCTATGTGATACACCGCGGTTTTCCGCGACTGTACATGTCACTATATTTGCTAATGAAAAAGAATTCAGAGTAATGGTTACTTAACATGTGGTAAACCGTTTGTGCCTTTGCCCTTAATGTGTTTCTTCTTGTAATAAGTTTTTTTTTTTTTATTTATTGAATGTATTTTATTTTACTTTGTGAATGTGACGACTAAAGAAAATAATAACATTGTTCTAGGAATTGACTAATTTAAGCATAAATATATGTTATGTTAGGTTCCACTGTAGATCTAAATTTTTGTGTTATTTGTTATTATGTTATTTGACCAATATTTATACAACTATCAACTTTTGAGAAAAATCAATTTTCATGAAAATTGAATTGATATTTTAATCTGTGTTAATTAATGCCATAATCGATATTAGACGTCATAGTTACCAAATACAGATGTGGCAACATCAAAAATGTTGCCATGTCGATTGATCAAAAAATCCTTATAAAAGATTGAATTGTTAGGGTATTTATTGTAGCAATTTTTTCGCTTTAGAAGCATTTTATTATTGTGATTTTTATAGTAAAATATTTACTGTCATTGACGGCCTATTTAGTATTCTAGTATTTCAAACCAAAGTTAAAATTTTCTATTAAATATGCATGCCTAATCGGATGAAATTGTTAGATTGACTGGAAGCGATGCACATACTAAAAGCGGCCGCACACCTTGGACTAAATTATCGCACAACTCAATCGTCAATTCAACTGTTTAGTTGCACAACTAAAAATCTAGTAGTGTGCGCATATCTATATAAGCTCATAGCAACCAAAGCGAGATTAAAAAGTTGGGCGATAGTTTAGTCAAAGGCTTAAATTCTAGAACCGCTAGAAATGAGTAAAATCTGAGATGTAATGTAAACGTGTATAGAACATTTTTGAACCTCTATTAATTAATAATGATCTACGAACAACATGTTAAAGTCTCAATGTTAAAATATGATTCCGTTATTTTTATTGACTCTTTGATATTGCCAGTTTATTTAAGTATGTGCTGTAAAATAGTGGTTTGATTCATCGATTTGAAAAAATAAATATCTGAGATTTTTAAATTAAATTATATTATTTGTAATTACAGATTATTTTAATAATACATTTAAATAACATGTCACGTATTTTGTAGTTTGTAACGTATTTACATTAAAAGGGGAAATCCTTAGAACGAATCATATGTTCTTTCCTTAATTGCTTTTATTAGTTAGAGCTTTGTTTTGTAATAGCTCATGTGTATTACGTGTTTTATATCTATTTAATTGCGAATTGAAATAAATTATTATCCTCATTTGCTTTTATTTATGTCTATCCCATGATTGTTACTAAATGATTGTGATTTGCGTAGAGCAGGGGTTCCCAATCCTTGCTTGGTCAGGGATCACTTTTGTAACACCTTGTTTGTAGGGACTGTAGTCGTCGAAAACAGTTTTACACAAATATCATGCAAATTTTGTCGATGTTGGTACTACTATCTACTTTCTCATATTTTTTTGTAAACGCTATTCAGAACAAAAATATGTTTACGGCATTGTATCGAGTGTGTTGCACACATGGACCGCATTCTGTAAAAGGTTTCGGGTAAGGCGTATGTCCAACAGTGGGCGAATAAACGTTGACAATGGTGTGTGAATTTTTTTACAAAAGAGATACGCCTTGTGTTTTAATATTGTAGGCTTCAACTTTCGGAGTCATTGTAATGATATATCGTTGAAGTTTTAAGACCACGTAAGTCACTTTTTGGCTATTTTGACATTTCGATGACATTCGCCAGAGAACTGGAAAACGCATACTTGCAGCGTATCAGTTACACGGATTCTCTTAAATATAACTATTATTAAGTATACACAAACGTATAATTATAGTATCTTTACAAAATGATGCAGTTTTTCTCTACTGAAAAGTTGCTATTTTTGACATCTGTGGTAGAACTTCAACTACAATATTCTCATCCTTCTCATTCTCTTTGATAAAACAGACGAGATAGAGAGAGACAGAGACATGTCTAGTGTTACCTTTGGAAATTTTATTTTGCCCGAACGATGACTTCTATCGCTATTTTTTCCCGAAATTATGATTAATTACCATTATTCAGAATAAATTACCGGTACATTCCTGTGGTGTTGACAATACTCGGTGTTTATCGGGTAATGTCGAGCGCCACCTAGATTTCTATAACTTACCTACATAATCCAATTGTCATGAAATACGTCAATGATTGACGTTGATCCGGTCAAGATGCGTGTTTTCATATTAAATTTCAATGATTCATTTATTACTTGAAGATTTTTTATCACGTAAATCGAAGTAGCATTTATGATAGACTTAAAAATGAAAAACAAAATTTATAATAAAACATTTTATTGCAGCATTATTAAAATCAAAATAATAATTTACTTAAAGTACAATAATAAATAACGGACCAGCCGTAGATTGAATCATAAGTTATTTGACTAGAATACATTAATCCGCTTTTCCACTGCGGAAACGCCAATACAAAACATAATGGGTTTGAAATCAAACCTCACTTTAGCGAGGGTTCTCTTTAAATGTTTATTTTTGGTGTTTTAGCAATGGAAACGCGGTTACATTCCTCTAAATACTTTCAGTCTTAACTGAACAGTTGGCAGTTTTACAGGTAAAATTGACAAGTGTGCAGATAAAACTGAAGGTGAAATGACTTAAAATCTTACAGATATTCTAACAAATATTCAAAAATTATAACTTTAATGACTAGTACTTGAAAGGCGTACGTTAATACTGTAAGAGAAACTTAAAATAAATCTACGATTTTACAGTTTTCATGGTTTCAATCGTCGAGCATTCATAATAAACGTCTGTTAACATAACAAAATTAAGACTCCGATTGTATGTAGTTTCAGAAACTAACCCTGGTCGAATTTTATAGCAAAGGTAACTTTAATGTTTTATTTAGATTGCAATCATTATGAACCAGGCACTAATGAACTCAATCTAAGTTTCTGAAAACCGTCTCGGCTTAAAACTGGTATAAATACAAGTTTCTGATAAAACATTTGTCATTTAAATCATAATTGAAATATAATAATTGTCGATAAGTTAACGATGACAACAATTAATTGTTCTCTGATAACGAGTTGGGACGAAGAGGAATTGTTAACCCGACTACAAATTAAGTGAAAAATTCTAGGGTCTAAATTCCCTTGTATTGTTTGATATTCTTGAACGACATATCACTGTAAACCAGATGGTATCTATGTGTTCTATATAATCATACGGCGTGTGTAAAATCCCATTGGGCCGATTGAGACACATTTTTGAGTTTGCTGTCCATCATCAGGATATTTTCTTTTTCAATTGTCATATTGGAAATGTAGACTGCTAATGCTCTCCGCGCCTTTAACTACAATTTTGTTAACAGGTTCGAAGCTATCCGTCATACATATTATAGATATCGGACCGGAATTGTTAACGTTTAATTCGAAGTTTATCGAATGATCCCTGTATACCTTCGGTTCTATATGTAGTACGAATTTTACGGGCGCTGAAATAGAAAAGAGGTTTTAATCATTTCATTGCAAAAAAATTACAGTTTTTAAAAGTGAATGATGGAAATAACGATCATAGCAGTAAGGGAAATTCGAAAAGGTTACTAATTTAAGAGCGGGTGTGCACCTTCGACTAAACTATCCCACAACTGTTGTACGATTGTCGATTGTTTTGCAGCCCATTCAACTGTTTATTTGCACAACTAAAAATCTAGTAGTCTCTAGTAGGTAAACATATGTGCAATAGTTTAGTTAAAGATTTGGTTTTCCTTCACCGCAAGCATAACAGATTAGAATTTAAGGCATTTCTGTTCTCCCATGATCCTTTTTTGCTATTTGATATGACATAAACTTTAGTAAACTAAACATAACATATTACTATCACTTACTCATGAATTCTGACAGTGTATAAGCCTCGGATTGTACTTTTGGGTCCTTTAACTGCGTCATGGAAACTTTTTCTGTAGACACGTCGTAGTTTAACTCACATATGTGACTTCCTCCTTTTTCTGACAATGCCACGGATAAACTAAAAATAAAAATAAATCATGGATAACGTTGGAAAGTAAAGCTTGAGTTAATATATGCTATGTCATTCAATTATAGATATAATTTTGTTGGAAAAAAATGTAGGCCTAAAAAGAATAGTGCGCTTAGGGGAGTTAATCTGTTAATTTATTTTATGTTAGTTGTCTGTACATTTTTAAACTCAGGTACACTAGGTTTTAGTTAGTTATTCACTAAGAAGGGAAATTAGCTACCATTAGTTGCTATGGTTACCATAACCTCCGGGTTTGGTATTTCTCTTCTCAAATTTCCCTAATTATCGTATTATATATATAATCAAATGTAAATAAAAGCATTTGAAGGTTTATGTAGTTAGATAATGTACCAACGTGCTTGTCGTTAAGGACGTGACTTGGACAATGGTATTAAAATTCAAACAAATGATTTTCATTATTTCCTTTAAGAGAAATATTTCGATTTCCAATTCCCATTTCTCTAACTTAAAACGTACTGGAGTTCATTGCGTTCATTGGAGCTTTGTTACTTTGTGTTAACCATATCTTTTTGTTCAAACTAAACTGCCTTAAAATAAACGAGGAATATTGAATTAGAGAACTTGAGCCAAATGTTTTAATTTATTAAAACCTAGTTAGAAATTAAGTCAGTCTTGTAAATTAAAAACATCAAATATACTTACGAATTGTCCATTATCATAGTTCCATTAATCGTTATCGCCGTGTCACTTGTAAGCGGTTTTGGCAGCTTAAATTTTGTACTACCCTTTATCGGGAGCGTAACACTTTCACGGTGAAAATTTAATAGCACCACAAAAAATATTAAATACGAGAACTTCATTTTGTCACAAAAATTTAAAAAGTCAATCACAACACAAAAACACGCAACAAATCCAAATGATCGTTTAATTCAAACGATAGTCTCGCGTCTTGCGCTACCTAACAGTAGCGAACGAAACGCACTTCTGATTGGTTTCAAGCTTGTAAATCCTTTTAAATCAATAAACTGAGTCATTATATTGACATAAATTGTTACAAAATCACACGTCACAACACTTTACAAGGATTCTACATGGTTCGCGCACATTAATTTCCTTGTCTAGATGTTATAGGCGTGAGGTCGTTTTAGTCCTTTGAGTTTTATTTTAAACAGCGATATTGCATTCTAGTTTAATGAACACTGAAGCTATTTAGTTATGATTCTGTTGATGTTTATTTTTTAGTAGGATACAAGCAGCGCTTCGCCTAATTTTTTTCGATCTAACGCTCACAGACGTCCGCAACGCTAGGACAACCGCAGATGCGTTACCACCCTTAAAACGGGTACACTGTTTTCTTGATACATTTAATATTTGCGATATTAAATTTTTAAATAAAGCTATCTGTGTTATTTATGTCACTCTGATGTAGACTTATATCAGAGTGACGATTAATTGACCGATGAGACTTATTGCTATTTACATAAATTAATATTTTATTAATAAAATAAGGATAAAACACCGCTAATGAGGATTCACCGTAGTCCGTGCCTTTAAAACATATATCATTACCCGATATCCTTTTCCGAGACTTCGAATTCAAAACTGACGTCATCTCAGTTGATGTTTTAGTTACGATTTAATATAACAAATGCAAAAAATCCTATCGCATCTATTCAAGTCAATGGGCTATCGCTATGAGACATAACAGCATTGAATATTACAATAAGAAAAAACTCGTAGAGTTAAAGAAACAATGGGGAAAACATATCTCTAGACGGCTAGGCAGACAGTTAAGAATGAATTCATAATCAAGACTTTTATACAGCTGATGAGTAAGCTACGATGATATAAGGAGATAATTCAATTTTTTTTAACTTTATTTTTCTTAACAAGCATAAATAGCCCATGCTAAAAATATAGTCCAAACTCATGTTTAGAATTTTGTGCCCGATTTACAATGAGCGTCGACAACTTGGATAGGGAGGGGTAGTTAACACATAGGTTACTTATGTTGACTTTTTTTTTCTCGCCAACGAAGAACGAAGGCCAAAAGCAAATGTTATCTAATATTATAACTGCGAAAGTTTAGATGGATGGATGGATGGATGGATGTTAGTTTGTAGCCTAAAGGCTGAACGTATCCTAATTAAATTTGGTATAGGTGTAAAGGATAGTCTGGAATAACAGAATGGCTACTCACTTTTGTTTTTTTTTTAATTCCACGCGGACGGAGTCACGGGCGAAAGCTAGAAGTGTGATATAAGAAACCCTGTAGTCATCGTTTTGTAATAAATTTATGCCTTTTTAAGGTAATTCAGTATTCAAATAATTTAACCGCTTTCCTCGCATTTTAATCGAAAGAGTTTAACAAAGGTTTAAAGACCTACTGCACCGTAAATTGACGTGCGGTTAGACACGTCACTTGGCGCTTAAGGACCTTATAGGGAAAATATCTAGTTCTAACGTTTACGTCTCATTATATACTATATGCATATGATTTATCGTAAGGTTCATTCAATGAATTCGAGTTATTAATATAGCGTTTAGCGTAACACGTCTATAAACAATACGTTTATCCTTATTCATCTGAAATCAATATTAACAAGAAATGTTTATAACATAATTAAAATTACATTTCAACTCTAGACAAGCGCTTTAAATTTCTATGTAGTATTTTTTAAAATGTTTAGTTTATGTAATTTGTAATAATGTAAAAGTTAAAAAATTCAAGACTCATTGCTGACATTTCGAAATTAAAATCCAAATTCAGACAACACATACAAAATAAGGTACTGAGTTAATCGTTATTTTCCAGAAACTATTCTCTTGAGTGTTAGACAGTTTTCTAAAAGTTAAATAACATTTGTTAAATCCCCAATACTAGCTTTTTAATTCATTTTGAAAATACCAACTCAGTATAAATGTAATTTGATGTTTTTGGAAGTGCTGGTAGTTTATTTTAAATCAGTTTTCATGTTAAAACGTTGCATAAGGCATTATGATTACATGAAATTTATTAAATTATGAAATTAATTCTGATTCACGAGAATTTCCAACTTCGATTAATATACATGTATATGCACCTTACTATAAACGTGTGGTTATTACTAACACACAGTGTAAAGGTCAAAATTGTATTCGGAAAAAGAAAAACCCAGTTAATGAACCTGTATGTGCACTCACCTTTACATTGGTGACAAATCCACAGGTAAAGTGGAATAAGTTTAGTCCCCTTAAGGAGAAATAAATTGTATACGCAAGTATGCGACATGTCACTTTGTTAATTTTCTGTCTCATCAATCCTTTACCAAATGTTTTTTTTTTATAAATCAATCGTCACCACCTAACTGTACATCCCTACTGAGGGGCTCGGAGGTTACTTTATGCGGACTAGGCCATAGTCAATCATGTTGGCCCAATGCAGCTTGGTTGACTCCACACATAACTTTAAACTTCTTCTCCGTTAACTGTAGATTACATCACGATGTTTTCCTTCACCGTAAGAACGTCGGGTAAATTAAGTACATATGAATTTCGAATGGAATTTAAAATGTTACAAAATGAATATAACATGTTGGGCCATCAAAGTTATGGATGACAGGAGACTGCGTGTTATAATAAAACGAAAGTACATTCACAATATTGTATATTTCAACAGGAATGTTTATACAACTTTTATGCTTTCTTCATTCGTCCTCAAAACTTCTCTGAATGATGCCTTGTAGATTTACTAATGCTCTCCATACTAAAGTATAAAAAAAGATAAATAAATTGTACAAACTAGAAAAAAAACAAACATTTTTTATTTCTGGAAACACTGATTTCTTAATTTCACAATATTATTTTTGTGTATTATTCTGATTTCATACTTACATTTTTTAAAACAGTTCATTCTGAAAAATAAACAGATATAAAATAAAGTCGTATATGTCATACAAAATATTATCCCAGGGAAATAATAATCACAAAAATAAAAAGTCATGTTTTAGTCTAAAGTAAAATATAAAGAATGTTAGAAACCCAAGAAATAGTCCTTTCTAAAGATTAAAAATTATTCTAAGTATACTCTCATGGATTAAAAATTCACATGGAAATAAAACTAATATTTATTAGAGACATTTCTTTATTTTTAATGTTAAAAATTAAGCATATGGTAGTAATTTATTTGAATAATTTGTATGTTACTTCATATTAATCTTCCCATACTTTAAATAAACAATGCATAAATACATTTTGTATTACTTTTTATTGATTTAATATCATACAAGTATTTTTCAATATATTAAATTGCAAATATGTGTCAAGGTTAGCAAGTGCATGTCTAGCAATTTATATTATTTAGGTGCAAATTTGATGTAAAAAATATTTATATTTATATTTATACATTTGACCTATAAATTAAGTTTTCAATGGTACTTTTCTATTGTAAAAGTTGTTGATCTTTACAAGATAATTATTAACACATTCCATGCTACAACAGTCGTTTTTGTATGAATGAGAACTTGTTAGGCTATTTGGTAGCTCTGAGTGTGTTGAAATTGAATAATATTAGTTAACATTAGTTTAAATATCTGTTACATCAATATATTACATTTATCACAACACTGGTTAGTAGAACTTTTGACAAAAAGGCACACTTATAATTAGTACAAGATACAAACACAAAAGCAAATGGTCAAAATTGTTACTTGCATCAGTCTTAGATGTGTTGGATGCTTGGCCACATATGCTATTGTTGGTCTTCTACAAGTTTATAAAAAAACATTTTCATGAACATAAGTTATTACAAATTCAACCTATAAAATGAAAAGAGTTACATCTCTAACTAGATTTTAACTATGTCTACTTTAAATGGATATTTCCTGCCTGTGACTGCATTTAAATAATTAAATTTAGCTTATATTACTGAGCATAAGAATTATGGAATTTTGGTCCTAAAGTTTAGATTTTTACACAAAACTACAAATCCTTTTAATAATATCGAAGTGGGATCTGTTAGGATATTTTACTCTTTTCACAAGATGGGTTGTTTAGTTATTGTTGAATTAATATTTAATAGTTTCTTTTTTAATTTGTACTTATCAGCAAATTAGATCACATTATACATGCTTTGAGTTAAAAATCTCATTCATTGTTTCATTACTATAGCTTAATTTAATTAATTTAGCTGATTCCATCTTAAAGATTAGGACATCATTACTCACCAACATATTTAACTTCATCAAAGGCCTTTCTAGCTTTCTTCAACTCTTCATTCATTGTTAACAAGTCTTTGACTCTCGCATATTTCCTTGGGTCTTTGCGCACTAAGAATATTATATCTTCCACTTGAACTCTACCAGGTCTACCGACCTCCATTGCCCTAAAAAGTTTCAAAATTTCGTCTTTATTTTTTATGTTTTACACAATAAAGGTGAGGAAAAGAACTAATGATTTGCTCTCTTCTAAAATCTGTTATGTAGGGGAGTAATTTTAGCAATTGGTGATAAAATAATGCATGAAACTAAGACATTTCAAATTATTTTTATGTTAAGCCTAAGTGATATTAAAAAAGAAATATAGATAATATGAATATGTGCAATGCAAATAATGCTTACTTATGTGTGGTTTCCGTAATGAATTCAATTACAAGATCTTCTAAGAAATCTACACTTTCCGTATAAGGATTCTGGTCATCTCCAAATCCATACATCATACAACGCAGTTCTTTACTGAATAACCTTTTCCTGCCCGAAGCAGTTGCCCCGAGCTGTTGCTCATTCTCTTCGTCTTCGAACTGTAAAACAAGTAATATGTAGTATTTTTTTCATTTGTAATTGTGGGTCATGTTATGTTTAGAGATTGGTTCCAACTCGGTACGATATTACTTGATCAAACTGATCTTGAGTGTCCGGAGTCGGCGTAACCATTTTTTTTTAAGTTTTTATATTGTGTGTTCACTTATTTCTTCTAAAATCTTCAGAATGCAAAACAAATGTAAGCAAAACAATGCAACGTCAAAAGCAATTTTTATATTTGCATGATTGACAAATAATAATGTTGCAAGAAAGAGACAGACCAAAATGTCAAAGATTTCTTTTCTATTTGTTCGGCTACCTGTATACTCTTTGAAAGTGACATTGACAGCTAAATGTCAAAGTTATTGTCACAAATTGTTATGATATGATTCGGTTTTGTATTTGTAATTTGTGATTGTACTTGTACTTGGCTATTTATTTTTGTGATGTTCTTAGTTCATACATTAAAAGTATGGTTTGAATAAATATGATATGCAGGATTTTGTGAAATTTCGCTAAAACGAAAAAGAGGTTAAGAACAACATCACCATGAATCCCATGACGTATGTTTTTAAATCAATTATTATAATTTACCTTAATTTTACTCCTAGTCTATTTCTAAGCATTAGTTATTGTTTACACGAACAAAAACGCACGAAGGAAATTTGTAATCCCTACCTACCGTACTGAGTGGAATGTTTGATATAAATTCTTCACCATAAAGATGTCGTTATTTCTGTGAATTGTTTTGATTGATTGCTTTAATCTTATGTTTATTATTTCAGAAATGTAAAGAATGTGTTGAAGTTGAGTGAGAGGGAATTGACTGGCAACTCTAAAACCTCTTGGCATGACCAGTACAAGGACAGTGCCTGGATATTTATTGGTGGTATGCCTTATGACCTGACAGAGGGTGATGTCATTTGTGTATTCTCACAGTAAGTGTTACGCATTTTTTTTGGAAAGTTACATTTTATAATTATACCAATTACCTTTTAAAGTTTTAAATCTATTTCACAGGTATGGTGAAATTGTTAATATCAATTTAGTAAGGGACAAAGCTACTGGTAGATCAAGAGGATTTGCTTTCCTGTGTTATGAAGATCAACGCTCAACTATTTTAGCTGTAGATAATCTCAATGGAATTAAGGTACATCAAATTATTATGTCTAGACAAAGAATATTATAACCAATAGCCACTGTAATAGCATTAATGTCTGAATATTTTTTTAAAGTTTTATATATATTTACAGATCCTTAATAGGACAATTCGTGTTGACCATTGTGAGCAATATCGGGCTCCCAATGCTGATATGTCTAAAGTAGATGAATTGACAGCAGCAGTGAGGGCTGAAGGATGTGCTCCTGTTGCGCCAAAGCTAGAAGTGGGTACCAAAATTGTTAAGCAGGTATAACTTTTTAGCATTTTCGACAACATTATTTGTTATTTGGATCAGATTTCAAGAACATGTTCATTGTAAAAAACTGTTAAAAAATAGAATTTTTTATATGTTATAGGAAAAAGAACACAAAGAGAAGAAAAGGAAGCACAAAGAAAAAAAAAGCAAAAAGAAAAAGAAGAAGAAAAGTAAAAAGTCAGAGAGTGATAGTGATTCAAGTGATTAGGTCAATTCTTAGTTGTCCAAATAAAAAGATAAACAATGACAGAACAATATTTTTAATTTAAACACCAAGTATGACTAGCAAATGTAATATTTAACTAACAAAGTTTGAAGTTAATACTGAAAACAAATATAAACTATAGATTAAAAGTTAAAACCTGGTAGAATTATTTACCAAGGTAAAATAGTATTTAATCTAATGCAAGAGATCAAGATATCAGGTACTTATGACAAAATACAAATAGGAATTAAAGTTATTAATATTGTAACATTAAAAAAATACATTTATCATGTTTATGTAATCATTTATAATGAAAATATAGTAAAAATAGATGGAAAATACTTTTAAGATACAACATGGAAATAAATAGATTTAAAGGTTTTAAGCATCATAATATACTAACATTTAGGTGCATATAAAAATGGATTTTTTTAAAGTTTCAATTAAACAGTCACTGCAATAATTACTTAACTGAGAACATTCAGTATCTTTTGTAGAGTATCATTATTAGCATATGCAATAATTCCTTGCGAGTTGCAATATTCCTTTGAATCAAGATCAGTATCATCATTGTATGTTATTTGTTGGTGGGTGGTATAACTGATAAGTCCTCCACCTTTTGCATTTAATATTGCGTGTGGTCCACAGGTATCCCAACGGAAAGTTGTCCCTTTTGAAACAATGTATCCCGCTGCTTCACCTGAAAAACAATACTATTTAGAAATGTAGTTACCCTTAAGTAGTTCTTATTGAAATTTGTTCATTAACCTGAAAGTTTGTTTCTACTCGGGTAGTTATCTTGTTGTTAAGATTTTTAGTGTAGCATTGTGTTAGATTTTATTCAAATTTAACATACCTAAAGCGATTTTTAATAATTTATGACCTGCACCTGGAACAGAAACCACTTCAAATCCAGAGTTATTAATTTTTTCTATAATATCTGGTTTTTCTGCTCCACTTATTAGTATAGTGTTATGTTCGGAGGCAACTTCTTTGTCACCAATGTAACATTTCTTGACACCTCCATAATTAACTCCCCAAATTATTCTGCCTTTCCCACTGAAAAAAAAATAAAGTAAGCAGTTTTATATATGCATTATTTTTAATTTTATTTTTTTATAATATAAAATGGCAAATGAGCAAGCGGCCACTTGAATTCACCGAATTAGAAAGCGACCGCTGCCCATAAACATCCGCAATTGCTGATGTGTTGCCTACCCTTAATTGACGGAGGAGAAGACGCACCTAGAGTACATTTCCCCTTCCTAGAGTTAGAGAGTCCTTCCACATAGAGTACATGTCTCCTCCACCGTCAAATCCACTTTTCCTTCCCATCCTTTCCTATTAAGAAAAGGGTGGAAAGGGACAAAAATTAGGCCTCTGGCACCACACTCATCAGACGAATGCCTGTCTTCTGTGTTTATTGTACCCTTTCTGCAATTCTATTTTAAAAAACCAACTTTCAGCCTTTAGCATGATTTGGTAACAAGATTAAAAAAAAAAACATAATACTTACCCATTATAAAAGGGCTGATTGATGACACCAACAACCGGTTCACCTGATGATCTCAAATAAGCTCCAATTAAAACTGTGACACAAGGAAGGCCATGGCTAGGGTCTGCCTCTCCGCGTACTCCAGCTATGAACTCAGCTGTAGCATCTAATAATAAATAAAAACAATTATAGAAATTGCAACAGTAAAGCTTTGCTGTGTTGTAGATAAGGTTACTTACCTTTTTTTTTGGTAACGGGGGGGAAATCTTCGAAAGATACCCTGTCTTTTGTAAAAGACAGGGTTATGTGAGATTTCTACTCACTAAAAACCCCCTCGGTGGCCGCCCTCAGGTGCGAATTGAGGGTCCTGGATCTCCAGTGG